TGAACTACACACATGCACACACACATGTTTAAAAAAAAGATGAAAGACTGAATCAGTGTACCACGGCTAATTTCCTGGCTTTGCTGTTGGGCTACAGCTATATAGGGAAACTGGGTGGAGGGAACATGCAACTCATTGTACTATTTTTGCAATTTCCTTCAAGTCCATAATCACTTCAGAATAAAAAGGTTTTAAGAAAATACTTCTCTTACTTGCTTTTCTGAAGTCTGGAAACCAAGCCAAGAGCCTCACCGTCATGTTACACCTGCAATTCATATAAATTATGGTGAATTCTCAAGACTGTCAAATTTGCCTAGGCTCCTGGCCTGCCAGGAAGTGATTTTTCTTACTACCTATAAGGCTGGGACCTGTAATGTGAGTACTTTGGTGTCATTGGCATATAGGTGATAAGCAAGTCATGGAATAAGTCGAGTCCACTTGGTGAAACATGGACAGTACTGAAGATGATCCAAGGCTGAGCCCTGAGGAGCCTCCAGTAGGAGCAGACAACAGAGTAAACTACAAAGAAACAGCCAAGGGTTGGGAAAATACTGAGAGCACAGACAACGTGTCTGATGGGAGAAGTAAATTGTCATTCTCTGTATATTTTATTACATTAAGGCCTTAGCTGACACATTTCAAACAAACATTTAGTATCTTTTTTTTTTCCTATGGATACTAGTGTCCTGGTGTTGGGAGTGGAAGTGGGGGGTCACTATAGGATATCACTTGCTTTTATATAAGTACTGTGCTCTTTACCTTCAATTTATTGCTGTTTGAAAAGACTGAGTTTAAGAAAATATATCTGCTTTATAGTTGTGCCCAAGATGGACACATTTCAAATTTTATAAATTCATTCATTGCAAAAATATTGTTCAATCAGTACTGTTTTTCTACTATTCTAGCAACTTTCTTGGGTGAAAGACACAATAGAAGATGAGGAAATAGTCCTTCATTTTGAGAAGTTAGTTGTAGTAATAATAGAGAGCAATTAAAAAAATCATGTTAAAAGCAGTAAAGATTATGTACTTAAACATAGTGTATATGAAAATTAAAAGTAAATAAGTAGGTGAGCAAGTGAGTCAGAAAGACCTTGGAAAAAACCTTGTCTTTGACAGAAATAAGATATTTCAGGAGATTGAAATAGTCTAGCTAAGGAAGGAGGGCTAAAGTAAACAGGATATACAAAGGATTACTATTAAGGTTCAGAAATATTTTATCATCATAATGCTAAAGATGTCACTTGAATACTTAGAAAAATGCAGTATAAAGGAAATATTGTTATAAAAGCATGTATGTATTTTCCTATGCTTTTAAACAAAATGTTTTTTTTTCCTGTGTTTATTGAAATACAATTTTGGCAGTTATAAAATACCTTATTGTCAATCTGTCGGCTCACATATTAGACTTTGCCATAGACGTTCTTTAATTTTCAACTTAAAGTTTGAATGTGATGAGAGCTGAGGTACACAAAACTAAATAACCTCTCTAGTTGACTTTAATGTCCTGCCAGAGTTGGAAACTTCTCCCTTGAAGATGAACTAATATTGTTACATCCACATTTTATTATTATAGGCATAATGTTTATAATAACCATGCTCTGGTACTGATGTTCTAGTGAAGCAGTAAAAAGCCAAAATGACCTAAAGAATATTGTCCTTTCAATATGGCCTTTAAATTGTTTTGGAATGCTCTTTTTTGTTCTTAATACTTAGTGTTTTAAAGTAATTCTATTCCTTTTAAGCCAAATGTTACTTGCTTTTGGTCAGGGACAAGGAAAATTACAGACTTTAGGAACTAATTAATGATAACTAATTAATGATTCATATTCAAATTAGGAAGAAACTTGAATAATGTTCTTACAATGATGTAGAGATTTTATCTCTTCTGAGCAATTCTCAGTTTTCATGGGTTGTGAAAGTTGGAACTAATGTTTTGCCTGAATTTCCTTTTCACTTCCTTTATTGACAATACTTGGTGTCTGCCTTGGCTGGCTGCCACCTTATTTGCAATATGCCACTGACTCAGAGTGATTCTGAATGCTGAATGTTATTTTGCTTCATATATGAGAAAATGGAATTGCTGGTCCATTGTTCCATTTTTCCATTGCATGTAACACAGTGTTTCCAGAAGCAGACACTGAGACAGAACGGGTAATGCAAGTTGTATTAGGGATTAACACCATGGAAGGGAGTTGGAGGAAGCAGGATTAGACAGGGAGAAGTCAGGTTGCACTGCAGGCTGGAGCCTCAGCCAGCCCCACAAGGAGTTCTGAACTGTCTGTGACCCATCAGAGTCATTCCCCTTTTAGTTGAAATGGTCAAGTATTTGTATTTCCACATTAAACAGTCAGTGAATATGGACGACTGAAGACATGCCTTTTGGTGAAGAGGCTCTGGGCAGCTTTGAAGGAGCTGACAGTTGGGAGCTCTGCTGACACCTGAGGCAAACCCTCTGTAGGAGAAGGCAGCACATTTGTGTCTACCAGAGACCCTGAAAGATGTTGACTAAGATAAAGCAACAGTCACCTTTTTGCTCAAGAGTCTGCCATTTCGGCAGGACTGGGCAGGGGCTGCTGTCTGTGATAGAGGGTGAGTTGTAGTGGCTCACCTGGGGTTGGAAGATCCACTATCAAGATAGGTCACTCACATAGCTAGCCCATCAGCTGGGAGTCCAGCCAGAGCTAGAGGTCTGGGATAAACTTAAGTGGTCTCACCTAAACTATGTATGTAAGGTGTTGGATGTGTTAATTAACTCAGTAGTGGGAGTCCTTTCACAATGTTGATGTGTATCAAATCATCATATTATACACTTTACATGTATTGGTTTTGTCAGTTATACCTCAGTAAAGCTGGAAAAAGTGAAAGACAAAAAAAAATTATAGATTATAAGACTACATTAGGTATTTAATACTTCTTACAAATAAAAGACTATAAACAATGTGGAAAAACAAGCCCACATGCTGGGAGAAGATATTTGTAACACATGTAATGAAGTTGGAGTAAACAGAATTCCTGAAAATGAACCAGAAAACAAAAAACAGCATGCACACAGTATAATGGCAAGGGATATTTTACAGAAGAGGAATCTAAGATGACCACTGATAATATAAAAAAGATTCCTAACCATATTAGTAATCATGCTGGTTAAGATGCACATCTCTCATCATAGCAATTCCACTTCTAGATGTATAGCCTGGAGAAATGTTCACATACAAGCACTAAGAGATGCTTATAAAAATATTCATCTCAGAATTTTGTGTAATAGCAAAAATCTAAAATAATCTAAAATTGTTGGAAACAATCTAAATTCCATTACCAGAAGAATTGAGAAATAAATTTGGTATATGAAAGTATTCCATATAGCAGTTAAAATTAATGAACTAGAACAATATATATCAACATGGATAAATTTTAGAAACATAATACTAGAATAAAACCAAGTTACAAAAGGTTCCTACACACTGGTATCAATTATAAAGTTTAAAGACATTCAGAAAAATACATAGTCTTATGGTTACATATATATGTACAAATAATATAAAATACGCATGAATATAGTAAACATCAAACATGGGGAAGTGGCAGCTAACCTCTAGGTTGTGGAGTAAAGGGATAATGTCAGGAAGAGTGATGGGATTCCTAAGGGGTATCAGTGCTTCCTATAATGTCTTGGTTAAGTGTTTTCCATTTCATTAATTATAATATAAATACAATTTATTTGTCTTAATAAGTTTTATAATTCCTATTTTTTAAAATAAAAAATTCTTGAAATTTGTAAATCCTGCTTTGTAATTCCTTTAGTCTTCTTTAAAATCTGAGAAATATGCCAGTAGCAGTTACATATAGTGGCTATATAGCTTAATATTTTGAAAATAAAGAATAAAGTAGCCTAGGTAATTTCCAAAGTTCCTTTCAGTTCTAAAATGTATTTCTTTGATGTTTCCAAACAACAGAAAATTTTTTCTTTGGATAACTTTTCTGGCAGTTCAGGATAAATTCAAATAATCCTATACAGGTTATTGTTTTCAGTCTATCTGCCTCTCTCTATTAAGCAATCATCTATCATTTACAGGAGTAATCAAACTTTCTCTAAAGGGTCAGATAGGAAATATTTTAGACTTTGAAGACAATGGTTTCTGTCAGAACTGCTCAGCACTGCCACTGTGGTAGGAAAGCTTCTATAGTAGATACTTGAATGGGTGTGGCTGCATGCCAATAAAATTTTGGAAGAACAGGCATCAGGCTGGATTTTGCCCATGGGTTATAATTTGGCAACTTGTGGTGTACAACACACAGAGATTACTTAAGTAATCAAGGTAGAACTATTATTATCCCCATATTACAGGTGGGAAAAGTGAAGCAGAGACCTTAAGTGGCATCATTCAGGTTAAAGGTATCCTACCATCTCCCATTAACTACATGGCAGTAGAAATTTTTTTCACATGTATAATATTCATAGAAAATTCTTTTTCCTCTGAAAGTGAATTGGTAGGTTCTAATCTGTTAGTTTTTCACAATTAAAATTTTTATAGTGTGCTTAGAAACTGTGTTGCTAGATCTTTACAAAATCATTTTAATCTACATTGATGTTCAACGTGTAGGAAGCATATTTTTCCCTCTTCAATTTCAAGGGCTAGAGGATAATATGTTTTGTGGATATCAAGTAATTATGGCTCTTCTCTGAATGCAGAAAGTAGGCCTACCATAGTTACATTGGAATCTGGAAACCTGAAGGGAAGGATATGACTTTAATTCAGCCTGAATGAAAATTACTACAGGACTTTTTATCTTCAGAAGAACACCGAAATTGCATGTGTTTAAGAAAAATTTTAATATAAATCAGAGCCAGGATTTGAACCTATTAAATAGTCAAATAGATTTCCTTAGATTACAACTTTAAAAGACATTGAGATTTTCAAACATAAAAGTTACCTGTCCAAGTAACTGATTATATTCATTTTTCCCAATTGAAAGTTGAATGTATCTGTTTTTTCTCAGGGACATCAAACCTGACAATATATTGATGGACATGAATGGACATATTCGGTTAGCAGATTTTGGTTCTTGCCTGAAACTGATGGAAGATGGAACGGTAAATAAAGCTGAATCTTAAATTATTTTACCTGTAGACATTTCCCTTGCTACTCATCTTGTTCATCTGTTTTAGATACCATCTGTTTATATTACCTAACCATCCATCCATCCATCCATTTGTCTATGTTCTATGTCCATTTGTCTATCTTCTGCAAAGACATTTAGGCATATTTATTCATAATCAGGCTTGTCTATAAAATCGTATGTCAATTTCAACTGCTTGTATTAATGATCTTAAGATTGATACAGCAAGACTTGTATGAAACCTTGTTCTTTCTTTAGCAGAACTGTTTATTGTACTTGAGATAGTTTCAGTTTCAGAGGGGTGAAGAAACTGAATTTCATATGAAGAAAGAAAATGAATCCTTCACTTTTACTTCTTTATCATCTTTCTAGTTGTCTAGTTTTCCTGGGGAACAGTGTTCAACAAATGAATGCTTTTATCAGAAAGTTCTCTAAGTTGATTCAGTTTTGTATTGCCATTTACTTTGGTTCTGCTAACACTAGGCCCCTCCATTGTTTTCTTTGATTTAAAAGTTTGTATGCCCCAATTTTATTCTGTTTTTTTGTTTTTACTTCAGTTTCCTGGCTGTATAGCAGAGATCCAAATATATATCATTTTAATTGGCAGAAATCTTATTGAAGAGCAGTTAGTATAATATATTTCAAAGGCCATGAAAGTATGACATTATTCTGAACCAGTAATTTGAGTTCTGAAAATGTATCCTAAGGATATAACATTAAAAAAAAATTATAACTTCTGCCTCTGACCTTGATGGAGGGAATAATTGGTACCAAATTATCCTCTTACTTATATATAAACAACTATAAAACTGGACACAATATTTGAGAGAACTGTTTTCAAGCAATGACCACCAGACTGTTGTCTCTGAGAGAAATGAATTCATGAGGTGTGCCTCATAATTTCCCAGGATTGGGACAGTTTGCTGAGTGGGATGCAGAAAGCTAGAGTTATAGCAGTTCTACAGAGCTGAGGAAGAGGTCAGAGTTGAGGTTGCAAGGCAGCTGGAATCTGCAGGGCTTGACAATGGAGAGGAGGAAGTTGTATAGAAGGAGGGCTTAAAGTGATCCATATGGTGGTTATCTCATGAAGGTTGGACTGTATGTAGGCAGTATAAGGCCATGTGAGACTTACCAAATAGTAGAGGCTACCTATTTGAAAGTCAAACATTACTGGAAATCAAGCAGTGCCAGAGGAGAAACAGTGCCAAGAGATATTGAAATTTCAGCCCTGGAGAGCTAGTTAACACCATTATAAAATGAAAGACTTAAATCTGACTTTGGCATCCTAAATCCAAGTCCTGATGAGATCCTGAGTTTGAAAGTGGTCGTCCAAATAAAGGGACTTGAGATAACTCTTAGACTGTCTATAAATCTGCCCTCAAAGAGTGTAACCATAGCTAATCCATATTCTAGGAGATTAGTCAATATTTTTAAATCTGCTTAAATAATAATTAATATTCTTTAGAGGAGGATAACAGAATCCATACTCTCTACAATATCTTACTAATGATGACCAGCATTCAATCAGAAATCAGTCGACCAAACAAAAAAGGGGTAGAGTAGGGTGGATTGTGATACAGAGTTAAAAAATAAATGTAGTCAGTAGAAACCTGGGTAGTACAAATATTAGACTTAGCAGACAGGGACTTAATGAAACCACTATGAAAGTGATTGAAGAATCAAATGAAAATATTGTCTTAAAGATTGCACAAGTAAGGAATCTCAGCAGAAAAATAAATCAAATGGATCTTTTAGAACATGAAAGGTACAGTAATAGAAATAAAAAATTCATATGAGGAGGTTAACAGTATATTTGAGATGAGAGAAGAAAGAGCCAAAGAATTTGAAGACAGGTCAATAGAGATAATCTAATCTGAAGAACAGAGAAGATTGAAGCAAAATAAATATATGCTCAGGGATTCATTTAGAATCCTAGAAAAAGAAGAGAGTAAGATTGGAGCAGAAAAATTTGTGTAATTGATGGCTCAAACTTACCAATTGTGATGAAAAACACAGTTATAAGGATCTTAGCCTATTTCAAGGTTATGAAAGGAACCCACCTGACCACAATGAAATTTCTGAAAAGTAAATATGAAGATAAATCATTGAAAACAGCCAGAAGGAAAAATACTATAAATAACCTGGGAAAATGGTAAGAATCACCATTGACCTCTCATCAGAAATAATAGAATGATATCTTTAAGGTGCTGAAAGAAAAAAAAATCTGTAGATCAACACTTTTATATCAAGCAAAAATATCCTTCAAAAATGAAGGTGAATTAAAGACATTTTTCAAATAAATGAAAGATGAGAGATTAATTCTTCCTCAGACTTGGATGCTAAAGAATGTCCTTCATGCCAGATATCCTTCATGATAGCTTTTGGATACTTAGATCTATAGGATAAAGAATCAGATATGATAAATAAGATCTACAGGATAGAGTATATTTCTTTTTAAATTTACATAAGAGGCATCTGACTGTTAAGAGCAAAAATAACAACCTTTTAATGTGCAGTAGAAGTAAAAGATACGATAATGGCTACACAAACACTATAAAATGAGTATGTGGAATCATACTGCTTTAGGATAACTAATTGTATGTGTGAAGTATAAGGTGAGGAGTGGATAGTACCACATATGACATGAGAAACGAGAAATAGCATGGTGGTTTTGCTGTAGTTTAAAGTCAGGGAGACTGTGGTGTCATGAAGCTGTGGGCTGCAGTTCCTGAGAGGAGAGTGTGCTGGAGAATTCCTGGCGAGGAACTAGTGTTTCCCCAGAGCTGCGTGTTGTAAGCCCCTTACAGTCAAAGCTGGGGCTCCTTTCCTGGAGTCTGATGTCTATATGACAGAAATAAAATCAATTCTGTCTGTATAGCAGAATAAAGTTTGATGTCCTGATCAGATTTATTCCGGAGGTGCTTGTATATCTTCCTAATCATTCATTCTTTACTGATGATCTGTTTTCCTGGACATATACCATGTTGGTCCTCCATTTAGGAAATTATAGTAAACTTTTATTTATTTTTTTTAATTGTCATTTTATTTTTATTTTTTATCTAAGTTATCTATACATATTTTAGGAAGACTTAATCACAAAAAAGCAGCATTCCTTTGTCCTGATTCTTCCCACCTCCAAGTCCTTATTTCTAGAGGCAGGCACTAAGAAATCTTTTGGAACTTCTGTCCTTTGATATACTTATTTACTTATCGTATTTGTGCTAATGTCTTTGGATTATTTGGCCTTACATAGTCTATGAATTCCCTACCATGGAAGATGAGGAAGATGAGGATTTAGGTCTCTTTGCCCACCTCACTCAACCCATACACTCCCTCTGTGTCTTCCCAGTGTAATTATCACACAATCTTTCATTAAATCCTGTCAGTTTTTTTTTATTATACAAATATTGTTTGTAGTTGTGCCATGCAGTTCATTTTAATTATATTGCTTTTCTTGGACAACTTTTTGTTCTCTCTGGAGTAAGTTACCACTTTTCTTTGACTTAGTTTTCTATGTAACTCTCACCAATTTACCCCTAAACTCTCCAACACACATTGAATAACTTAGCAATTCCTTTTTCTCTCAGACACATTAAATAAATTGGTGACTCCCTTTTGTCCTTTGGAGCTCTCATCCTGGAGTCCTACATTTTCCCTTCCCAGCCAAGGCTGTTCTGTAGGCCTATCCCCAGTTCTCCTCCTAGGACTACCTTTGCTCATTATGGGTTCACTGTGTGGCTCTATTGTACTGGAAGGCTTTAGGATGCTCTGTTCATTTCCAGTGTTTTCTGGAACATTATGGTTATGTGATTTTGCGTGGGTCATTATCAGTTAGCTGGGCAGCTGCCTCAGTTTTAACCTTTCCCAGGTCTTGTGACTTTCCAAGTAAGTTTCAGTTTGCTTTTTGGCTCTTACATCTGAGTTAAAAATATACCATCTTAATCACTATACCTTTATAAACAGTCAGTTTTTGTGAGGGGGTGTCCTACTATAATTCTTTTTCTTCTCTGAAGTTATTTTCTTTTATGTCTGTTAATGAAGTTTTATAATCATGTTCAGTATAAATACATTACCTATATTTGTTACATTTGTTCCTAGATACCTTGTGGATTTTTTTCTGGCTATTATAAATGATAACTTTTTTAAATTGACAATTTAATAATTATGTCTGTTCTTTAGGACCACAATTTATTTTTGTACATTCATCTTGAAACTAGCAAGCTTTACTGAATTTTTTTATAAGTTTAAAATAACTTGTAGATTTTTCTAGATTTTCTATATAGACAGTCATATAATCCAAAGATAATGACTAGTTTGGGATTTTGTCCTTTCCAATCCTTATATATATATTTTTTCCTTATCATATAGTCAGTGACCTTCAGTATAATATTAGATAGGTGTGGCAATAGGGACCTTCTTTGCCTTTTTCCTTACTTTAATGGTGTTTTCTGTAGTTTCAAATTAAGTATGATGTTTTCTGTAAGCTTGTATATATTCTTTATCAGATTAGGGAAATTTCAGTTTCTGGTTACCAAGAGTTTATTGTTACAGTTGTTATTGTTGTAACCAAATGATTTTTCTGCATCCATTGAGATAGTATTAGAGTGCTTTTCTTTTATCTGTTAATCTGATAAATGACATAGATTGTCTAATGTTAAATCATCCATTCTTTGGATAAACATAACTTTACTATGAAGTTGTATTGATATATTTGACACAGATTGCTAGAATGGTTCTGCTACTATTTTATATTGAATTGTTACATGTGATTCATAGGTGAGATTGATCATATCTGAGATTACAGTATAATTTTCCTTCTCATACTGTTTTTGTCTGATTTTTGTATTTAGGTTATTTTAGCCTTATCAAATGAACAGGGCAGCTGTATCCCCTCCCCTTACCTGTTTTGGCTCTAGGACAGTTTATACAATACAGGAGTTATTTGTTTCTTACATAATTGGTGAAACTCACTTT